CAAATGTAAAATATTTTACAAGAACAGCACAGAGGAGGTGGATGGGTACAAAGTTATATTAGAGTAATGAAATGATGCCAGATAGTAACTCAGATCTACAGTCTGAAATGACAATTAAAAAATAGAGAATAAAAAGGTTAATGAAACAAACTCTATAAATATGTACTTGCTCTGCTTTCTTCTCTTGCCTTCCTTGGAAGATGTAACATTGCATAAAGTAATAGTTTAACAATGTATTATTAGATTTGTGAATGTTATACTAGAAAATGCATGATATAAAAAGAGGATCAGGAAAGGTTGGACAAAGGAACAAAGAAGGCATGATACCTATAGAAAATTAAAAAACTAAATAGCAGATATAAATTCTACCTTATCAGTAACATAAAATGTGACTGCATTAAACAATCTAATCAAAAGACAGACAGCAGATTGTACTTTTGAAAAATATGTAGGAAACACACTTAGACACAAAGATACAGATAGGTTAAAAGTAAAAGGATAGAAAAAGATTTACCATGCAAACATGGTTATACTAATATCAGACAAAATAGATTTTTAAATACAAAATGCTACTAGATATAGAGAGGGACATTTCATAATGATAAAGTCCATCAGGAAGATGTAGTAACTATACTCACATGTGGACCTAACTACAGAGCCCCAGTAATGCACAAAGCAAAAGCAGACAGAATCGTAGAGAGAAATAGACAATTCAACAATAATACTTCGAGACTTCAATACCCTACTTTCAATAATGGACACAACAACTAGGAATAAGATCAACAAGGAAATAGAAGACTTGAAGAACATTCTGAAACGACTAGACCTGACATACATACAGAAAACTTCACTCAACAACAGCACAGTATATATTCTCAAAAGCATGTGAAATATTCTCCAGGATAGACCGTATGTTAAGCCATAACATATACCTCAGTGAATTTAAAAAGAATATGAAGGATGTTCTTCAATAACAATATAATTAAATTAGAAATTTAATTAGAAATCAACAACCTAAGGAAATTTGGAAAATACACAAATATATGGAAATTAAATGACACATATCTTAATTTCCAAAATAACAAATGGATAAAAGAAAAAATAACAATGGAAATTAAAAAATATGTTGAAAAGATGAAAATTAAAATATATGAAAACTGTGGGGTGAAGCTAAAGAAATACTGAGAAAGAAAATTATATTTTTAGATGCTTATATTGCAATTGAAGAAAGAGGCTCAGCATGGTGGCTCATGCCTGTAATTCCAGCACTTTGGGAGGCTGAGGCAGGAGGATCATTTGAGCCCAGCAGTTCAAGACCAGCCTGGGCAACATAGGAAGACCCTGTCTCTACAGAAAATACAAAAAGTAGCTGAGCGTGGTGGTGTATGCCTGTAGTTGCAGCTACTTGGAAGGCTGAGGTGAGAGGATCGCTTGCTGGTATACATGCAAAATGTTGCAGCTGCTGTGGAAAACATTTCAGTAGTTTCACAAAATGTTAAACAGAATGCTATATGACTCAGTAATGCCACCCCTAAGTTTATACCCAAGAAAACTAAAAGCATATATCTATACAAAACTTGTATACTAATGTTCATAGCAGTGTCATTCGTAGTAGCTAAAAAGTGGATGCAATTTAAATAACCATCAGCTGATGAATAGATATAAAATGTGGCCTATTCATACAATGGACTATTATGTAGGTATAGAAAGGAATGAAATACTGATTATGTGCTACAACATGGGCGAACCTTGAAGACATGTTAAGTGAAAGAAGCAATTTTAAAAAGACCATATGTTTTATCATTCCATTTAAGTGAAAGAAGCAAGTTTAAAAAGACCATATGTTTTATTATTCCATTTATATTAAATGCCTAGAATAGGGAAATCTATAGAGACAGAAAGTAGATTAGTGGCCTAGTGGGGGTATGGGGAGTGTCTGCTGGTGTGTAGGAGGTTTCTTGTGGGATGGTGCATATTTTCACAACTTAGATTGTGGTGATGGTTACACAACTCTGAGAATACTAAAATTGTGGAATTGTACACCTTAAATAAGCGGACTTATATATTTCTGTCTCAGTAAAGATGTTGAAAAATATATCATCTGGAAGGAGTACATACACACTCTTACAGGGCTGTGATTTTTGGTCCTTATTCTTGCCTATCGTATTTCCTTAAACATAGTAGGAAACATTTATGAAATGAGTGAGTAAAAAATGAAATATATTAATTTGAATGTATAATTATCTGTCTTGGTTAGTGAAATAATACAAAACCGATAGTGGTTAATTACAGAAGCCTCTCAGAAGGCATGTTGAAGGAGCAGAAACATGGTGTATGTCAGAAAATGTAAAATACTTAAAGGAGAAAACCCAAAATGCACCATAAACTGCATAAATGCACATAATGAGGAATATGACAAAAAGCAGAAAGAAAATAAGAGGGAACTGTGTAGTTGAAGAATTTCTAGTATGTAAAACCCCTAATTAATCTCTACTCAATGAGTGAATACAAGTCTGGCATGAGAATTGATTCCTAGAAGGACTTGCCAGACTTTCTGGAGAAGTATAGAACCAATAAGTAAAATCTAGTTATTTTCCCTCATTCACATAATAGTTCCTTTTTTGATTGCCTCTTATGTGAAAATTTTGTTCCCTCATCCCCATCTGGCATGGTTAATTAAACTCCCATCTGTGTAGGAACTTATACTTTTGTACTTTTCTAAGGTACCTAGGAGACACACAAACACACATGCACACACTCCCACTCCCTTTCACACGGTAGGAAGTGATGCATTTTTATAAGAGAGTGCTTGAAGTGCTATAGGAATTCAGAAGTAGCATTTGAGTCAGATTTACACATGCACTGTTGGGGAAAAGAAGGACACTCCAGTCAAAAGGACTAGCATGAGGAATCACAGGGCATCCAGTTTGACTGATGTTAGTGAAGGGAGTAATGAGAGAGAAAGCTAGGGCCCAATTATGTCCCAGCTCTGATATTTACTAGCCACCTTGAGAAAGTTACTTCTTCCTGAGCATCCCCTTAAAACAATGGAGAAAATAATCCCACCTGCTTCAGGTTTATTGGGAGAATTAGATGAGGCAATGCCCGTTAAGCACTTCTTACATGGTCTGGTACAGAGTAAGTGCTCAGTAAATGTTTCCTATGTTTTGGCATGGAAAAGCTTTGATACTGAGCTAAGACATATAACCTTTTATGTTGTGGGGAGCAATAAATAAGGATTTTGAATAGAGGAGTAGCATATGATGAGAGCAATGCTTTAGGAAGATTAGCTTGGTACAGTGATCTGGAGATAAGAGAAGGGGAGACTGGAGACAGGAGGAAGCCATTGCAGTCCAGGAAAGGTAGTGAGAGCTTGAACTTGAGGATTGATAATGTATAAAACTACTGTATAAATATTACTGAAGTTTGGTGGTGTTATAACACAAATAGGAAACATAGGGGAAAAGGAGCAGGTTTGAAGGTGAAAGTAAAAGGTTGGTGTTAGGCATACTGAATTTGAGATACCAGTGAGACTTCCAGGAAGACATGTGTGACAGGGAGTTGGAAATTCAGTCCTTGGTCAGGGTTTGGGAGAATATGGGAATTGTTGCCCAGAGGTTGTAGCCAAGAGGTTGTATAAGACTGCAAAAGAGAAGAAATATAGGGTTAGAAGAGAAGACAGTTAAAGACAGAACGCTTAGAGGTGGGAAAATGAAGAGAAGGCAAATAATATGACTATAACTGCTTTGTACAAAGGTTGGTTGTTGCTATATAGTATTATACACCTTTCCTTTATACCTGCCAGCTGATTGTTTTACTGTCTTCTTCAGTACCACAGCTGAATGGACCATCATAGTAGTTCTTATATATGTTCAAAGATGGATACATTTGTTCTTACATAGGTCCTAAGTATTTTTGCTTTTACGTAAGGCTAACATGACAAGATCTATTAAGATGGCAGATCAGTTGTATTTCTCAAGAACATATGGGCATTATAAGAAGCTACAGTTTGGTTTATCTTACAGATATTCTCAGAAAGTATAGAAAAATATGGCCAGCCCTGAGGTACTATGAGGTGGCAGATCATATGCCTGATGCTTTCTCACTAAATATTTGAAAGTTGATTTGATCTTGAAATGTCTTGGTTATCCAGAGAGAGGGCTGAATAATTGTAAGGATAAAAATGGGGTTCCCATCCTGCTGCGTGATTAAAAATTGCCTATGCATTTCTCTAGTGCCAGTTGTTTTGTTAGTTCCTTCAACCCCTGGGCATACAGCAGCCAGAAGTGAAAGATGATTTGAAGCAATCATCATGGGCTTTCCTGCAGAACTCAGGGAGTGTCTGCTTGTGCTTGAGTATGGGAGTTCTTTGTCACAAGGGGGAAATGACTTGAATTGGCTGATTCCCTTTCTTTGTTTCAGAAGGGCCCCTGTGATTCAATTAAGTTTTACAAGTCAGTAATGGGCAATAGCCACAATCCAGTGGGTCGTCAAAAGAATTGTGAGGTTCTGCTGCAATATAAAAAATGCGCACAAGTCTTTGATACTAGAAGGCTTTTGCGTCACTGTAAAATTAATCAGTCGGCGCTATTCTCTGCATACTCTACTAAGCTTTTTATGGCCTTTTCATTCCATTCTTGTGTTAGGAGATTTGGGGTATGTGTTTTTTCTTTGTCTTCCTTCTTGACTTGCGTATTTAGGACACTTCTAAGTCAGACTGGTTGCAATCTTATTTTTAGAATTCTTAACCAAGGTCAACCTAATCCTATTATATCCAGATGCTGCCTATTCACATCTTCAACTTCACCTCTCCCTTAGTACCAATTGCACTAGTGAAGGGTTGAGGATTGCAGGTAAAGTTGTATCCCTGACCTGAGGTTGTCTGTGGGTAATGTTTAGAGCCCATTTGAATATGGCAAGTTTGAGTTGGGGCTCCATAGGATCAGAACATACTTAACCTGTACTGTGACAGCTTACAATTTAATTTCCTCTTCTTGCAGTAAGTACAAATGGATCGTAGGTGAGGAACCAGTGGAGAAACGAAGAAGGCTCCAGAATGAGATGACAGCACCTGTTCTAGATTATTCCATGCCTGCTCCTTACAGGAGGGTAGAGGCAGCTGTTGCCTACCCAGAAGGAGAGAACAACCATGACAAATCGAGTTCTGAGAGAAGTACACCACCATACCTTTTCCCAGAATACCCAGAAGCGAGCAAGAATACAGGTCAAAACAGAGAGATTTCAATTCTGAATCCAGGGGCCCAAGACCAACGTCAGGGGTCCCTGCTTCCTGAAGAATTAGAAGATCAGATGCCAAGATTGGTGGCAGAAGAATCTAACAGAGGTAGCACGAGCATAAACAAAGAAGAAGTGAACAAGGGACCTTTCGTAGCTGTTGTTGGTGTTGCCAAAGGTGTTAGAGATTCAGGAGCTCCCATTCAGCTGATCCCTTTTAACAGAGAGGAGCTTGCTGAGAGACGAAAAGCAATTGAATCCTGGAACCCAGCGCCTTATTCTGTGGCCTCTGCTGCAATCCCTGCTGCAGCCATTGGGGACAAAGGAAGAGGCTATGAAGAGAATGAAGGTTGTAATACACCAAAGATGAAGAACCAGAGAGAGCTGGAAGAATTGAAGAGAACCACAGAAAAATTGGAACGTGTTTTGGCTGAAAGGAATTTGTTCCAGCAAAAGGTTAGGGTAATACCTTACCACTAGGAATAACAGATCATTGTAACCAAGGGACCAGGACGTTGGTGCCCTGATGATTTCATGTTCTGAGGCCTTTAAACAAAATATGCCCTTGAACTGTTCTGTGGTGTGTTTAAGATAGAGTAACTGTAGTAGGCTTCCTCCCCATTTTATGGTATTGAAGAGGTCCATAAGTAGAGGAATCTGTATAGTGGAATCACAGGATGATCATATGAGTAACGGTTTTTGGCACACTCTTTTGTGGGGTCATTGAATTTCTGTTTCTTGGACTGCAGGTAGAGGAGCTGGAACAGGAGAGGAATCACTGGCAGTCTGAATTCAAGAAAGTCCAACATGAATTGGTGATCTACAGTACCCAGGATGCGGAAGGCTTGTACTGGAGCAAGAAACACATGGGTTATCGCCAAGCTGAATTCCAGATTCTGAAAGCTGAGCTGGAAAGAACCAAAGAGGAAAAGCAAGAGTTGAAAGATAAACTGAAGGAGACAGAGACACACCTGGAAATGCTGCAGAAGGCTCAGGTCTCCTACCGGACCCCAGAGGGAGATGACCTAGAAAGGTTAATTACTAGGGTTTAGTTATCAGCTTGTGAGTGCTAATGGGAAGCATCCCTTAGGACCCCCAGTTACTGGCCATAGACAAGGGAAGAAGCCTTAATTCACAGGCCACCAAGAATTGAGTAATTACTTCTTAGAAAGCTGCAGCCAGTCTCCCTGTGCTTGGTGGCGTTGTGCTTTCTTCTTTCTAGCTAATGAAAATGTAACTGTTGAGAAATGTGGCTCCATTTTGAAGGGGCTTCATTTTATTCTGTTGGTTAATGACTTCATGTCATCTCTTCTCCTGCCCCCTCACTCCATCATACAGGGCTTTGGCAAAGCTTACACGGCTCCGTATCCACGTCAGCTATCTCCTTACTTCTGTCCTCCCTCACTTGGAGCTTCGTGAGATCGGGTATGATTCAGAACAAGTGGATGGGATCCTGTACACGGTGTTGGAGGCAAATCACATACTGGATTGAGCACCAGACTGTATACCCTTCTCTTGTCTTCTGTCTGTTCTCTTTTCCCTCCCTCCCCCACATCTCTCTCTTTCTCTCTCTTACCTTTATGCCTTATATAGAGAATCTCTGTAAGTCCTGGCTCATAATAAGTCTGCTTCTTATCAGTTTTGGTGTGAAGAAAGATGCCAGTTTAAATAGGCTTTCAAGTCTTGGAACAGAAAAGCAATAGTCACCAAGCTTGGTGACCTGAGAGCTTTAATTTTCATGACCTGGATACGTGGTCTATTTTATATCTTTTTCTAAAATCATTTGTATTCATTAAGGTTAAATCAATCAGTAGATATTGGGTACCAGCTGTTTTCGGGTAAGCTAACAAGTATAACTCGTATTTGCAGCCTTCAAAGGTGTAACAATCTAGTTGGAAATGTAAGACATACATCACATTATACACAGAAGTGTATGATATGTACAACTGAGTGGCACAGATATGACAATGAAGATCTGAGGGAGGAAGTTCAAGGAAGGCACCACACCAGAAATGGGACCTAAATTAAGGCTTAAAAAATGAGCATGGCCACACTGTCAGTGAGTGATCTTTAGGTGACAGGACTATGCTTGATACTTTTCTTCTTCCTATCTTCTTGCCTTTTTCAAATTTTCTATATTAAACTTGTTATTCTTCCTACATTGAAAAAAATAAATTGTTTTTCAAAAGATCAAGTAGGCCTGAATTTGAATATCAAATGAGAGATTATGTAAAAATATAAGGTAATGTTATAATTCTAATTTATATTAAATTTAGCATTACCTCTGGAAGAAGAACAGCATAAACAATGGCATAGTAAAATTCAGAATGTGAAAAATGTATTTGATAGGAGAGGTGGGTTATTGTAAAGGGAACTAAGATTATATAATGATCCACTCACCCGCTTTGGTATTCACATTTTAATAAGGGATTCTTGAAAAACAGCAAACCTACAAGGTTCAAATTTAAAAATATATTTATCATAAAATGAATGGAATTTCAGGCATTTGGAGAAGTATTTTAGAGTGGAATCTATCTGATGTCCCTTGGAACTCTTCAGGCTACTACTGAGTGAGGGGTATACTAACAGAAATAGTAAAACTTATTCTCTTGTAAAAGGAGACATTGTATTCATTTTTTTATTGTGTTTATATAGCACATACTGTTCAAAGAGTTCAGGGTATTTTTCAAAAGACATTGAACAATGAACACATAAAAGTATACCAACAGTAAAAAGTAGGAACTAGAGAAGAAACAATCAAAGGAAATTGGGATCAAGCAGTGGCAAAAGGATTAGCTAGTCCACAGGAAATGTCTTGGATATTTGTTCTGTTTCTCCTCCACAGTTACTTCAGAACACTTTTCCAAATTAATTTTCCCTCCTTTGAAAGGGAGTCCATTGTAGATACCCCAGTGAGACTGCAGGGAATGAGGGGAGGCCAGATCTTGGCTTCGTCATTAGAATGAGTACTTAAAGATATCCCTTGCCCCCTTACCCTCCACCGCACCCCAGCTCTAGCTTGCCATATGATTAATTTTCATGTTAGACATTTGGATTATGACAGTCAAGGACACAGTTGTCTAAATGTAAATAGTACTGAGGGAAGAGGAGCACTTTCAGCCATTCTTTCAGTGGGATTTATTTATCAGATGGGGACTGTGAGCGTGTGAGGCTGCACACAGAAAAGAGTACGGATGAGAGTCTGCTGCAGGAAAAAAAATTCAGAGCATTGAAGGCTCTGCTTCTGTGAGTGTTTGTTGGGTGAGAAAGGGGACAGAGTAGGAAGGTGGGTAGGCAGTGAGGCTTTAAAGGGAAGAAGGTAGGAAATTTGAACTCATCTTTCCTAGTGCTTACTCTCAGCCCATTCCCTGGTTTGTGGTCCTGACCCCACATGCTTTTTCCAGCACCGCTATCTGTGTGAGTCCATTCACTTCAATACCAGAGCTACCTCTTTTTTACCTATTTACTATGAAGCCATGCCAGCATGAGATGCCCTTGATAGAGTTAAATCCCACTGTGGAAAGATTGCAAAGTATCTCCCAGCCTTACCAGAGGTTATGATCTAGTATGGCGGCAAAAGACATTGAGAAGGAAAAGGCAGATGCTTCCTCCTGGCTTTCCTGTTAGGTTAACATAAGCATAGTTCCCCTTTGAAATGTCTCCTACATTTGCCCTTTAACTCTCCATTGCCATGATCAACATTTAGGTTATTACCTAAATAACTTATTACCTCATCCCTTGATTATCTAAATAAATTCTTAAATGGCCTCCCTTGCCTCCTATTCTCCCTCCCCAATCCACCCTACTCAATGTTACCAAATTTTGTTTTTTAACAACTTCATCAGGTCAGGCCTCTGCTCAAAGACTTGCTACTGTTCCCAATTGCCCACCAAGTACAATACAAATTCCTTAGGATGGTGCTCAAAGCCCTTTGTTATCTGGCTTCAATCACCCTTTCTACAGTCATCTTGTGACATTCCAGATAGAAGCCACATTCCATCTAAACTGAATGATTTTCCAGTTTCTGAACATGCCTTTGCATCTCTACCTGTGCTATTTTATTCCTTTTGCCTGGAATGTTTTCCCTCATCATCTTTCCTTTGGCTCAAATACCAACTTTTTCCTGCAAACTTCTATGATTAACCCAGCTAGACACAAAATTTCTCTGTAAACATTTACATTTTGCATTATTTATAAGGCTTTTATCACAAACATCCTTGTCCTGTGCCTACTTGACATTTACACTTACATGCCTCATTAAAAATAAACAGTGATACACCCTGGGGCTGTTCCGCTTCTCCCAGTTTTCCTTATCTTAGAAAATGGCACCTCTACTCCTTCAGTTGTATAAGCTAGAAACCTGGAAGTCATCCTTAATTTTCCTCTTCTCTCACTCCTCTCATCCAGCCCATCAACAAGTCTATCAGTTCTACCTCCAAAGTATGTCTTGACTCTCCTCAATTTTACTACAGCTACCTTAATCCAAACTGCCATGGTCTCCCATGGGATATTATAACTCCTAGCTGGAGTCGTTGCTTCTACTCTTGTTCCTACAATTGTCTATAGACAGAATGATTTTTTTTAAAATAAGTAATAGATCATGTGATTACCCCGCTTGAAACTTTTAAATGACTTCTCATTGGCACTTAGAATAAAATCCAAACTGCTTACAGTATCCTGCAAGGCCCCTGCCTACTTGTACTTTGTCTCTTGTGACCCCTCTTCACATATGACTTTCCCCCTGGCTCACTGTAGTCTTCCTATGGGCACATGTCAAGCTTTACTTACTTCAGAGACTTTACCCTGCTATTCTCTCTCCGCAAGCATACTTTACCCATACTGCTCCCTCTGCTAGAATGCTCTCATCTCCAGTGTTGGCATATAGCTGGCTAGTCTCCATCCTTCAGGTCTTGGTGTGTCACTTCCTCAGACAAGCATTCCCTGGCAGCCTTTTGTCTCTATCTGCCCTATTATGCTATCACTGTTTCCTGTTTTCCTGAATTCATAGCACCTCACAATTTATCATGATGTATTTGGTCATTTGTTTTCACTCAACAAATATTTATTGGTACTGACTGTGTGCCATGTGAATATAGTGGTGAACACAACACACATGCTCCCCATCTGCATCCCTCACTAGTAAGTTCCACGAGGGAAAGGGCTATGCCTGTTTTTGCCAACCACTGTATCTTAGAGCCTATCCTAGTACCTGGGATCTAGGAGGTAATTAGTTAATGATGGGAACTATGTTTTGTTCACATCTTTACCTCCCCCAGGGGCCTAAAACAGTGCCTTGTTCATAGAAGGGGTTGGATAAATACAGAATGAGTGAGGTCGATGACAATCCTGGACATTCGACTTGGAAAATGAAAGACTGATATAATAAGTGCTATAGGTTATAAGGGGCAATTGGTGTGAGCTGAAGTGGCCTAGTGTTTCTCTCTAGCTGATCTTTGGTATGGATAGATAGAAAGGCTACCAAAGGAGAACAGGAATGTGGGTATTCTTTACTACAAACATTCTCAATCTTATCAAAAGGAGGCTCCCTGGCATGCAGTTTTTAAATACTGTAGAACATAACCAGGAGGTGTCTGGAGAGATCAGATCTTGAGATGAGAACTAAAAGGAAGAAAGCATTCTGAGGAGACATCTGTTCACTTTTTCCAAGAGTGGTGATAGTTTGTATCAAGAGAAGAAAGGAGCTATCCACAAGCAAAGAACAGACAGAAGAAGTCTCTAGGGAACAAGTTCTGGGCACCAGGAGGTCGATACGTGCTTGTTGGATGAACTAATGAGCGCCTGGTTGAGGCTTAGACCAGGCACCTTGTGGCCCCAGGGAACGGGAAAATTTGTTTACCCAGGTTTAGTGATTGTGAATTATCTGGGCTAATAATTCAGAGACAGAGGCTTAATTGCAAACCCTTCATTCCCAGAGGCAGTCTCCAGATAGAATGTCTTTCAGATTCTGTATATGAATTCAAACCCTTTTCTATAGTACTATATTAGGAGGGAAGCACAGGGGTCTACTCAGGAATGCTGGGTGTGATCTCAGGCTAAGTAAAGTTTAATTTCCTCCAAAGAATGACTTAGCTTTGTGAAAAGGACATTTCTGACTCGTGACTTATATTAGGCAAAGGGGAGCATTCAGGAACAATACTTTCTGAATCAAAATTTAGAGCACATGTTTGGATAATAAATTAGATAATTGAAAGAAGAGCTGACTTAGTCTTGTGTATATGAAAGCTTTAGTTACCAAGTGAGACATAAATGGCATTCATTTTCTAATAGAAAATAAAATCTTCCAGAAGAAATTTGTTTTGTTACTTGCCCCCATCACTAAGCCCAAAATTTTGATGTGAATCACCAGAAATTCCCAACCCAATTTTAGATAAAGTCGTGCAAATGTTTTGGGTGCTTTCAGCATACCAAACACCTTCCATATATCTGTCCATTGTGCCTTCGAGCAGGCAAGATGACTATAGACAGAGGCTCAGGAAAATGTTCCAGAAGGTCTGTTCTTCCACATAGGCCCTGGAAACCTGGAAGGATTGGAAAGCTGAAGATGTATGGGGAGGGTTTTGCAGGTATAGGGAAGAATAAGCAAAGTCATAAGACTGGGTGGGGAGTGAATACAGAGATACTCAAGAGGGTTCCAGAGAGTGGATTATCCAATGTGAAGCAGTAAGGAACAGAATCAACCAAGGGCTGGGAAATGCTGGCAAGAGGCCTATGCTAAACCTGCTTTATGAATTAGGATGAAGTAGCTGTTGAAATCTCTCCAATTGTCCCTAAATTTGGGATGTTAACTGCAGTGTATAGTTACCTTGGACTGATCTCTTCTCTTTAGCAGTGAGACCTGATTAATCATGGATCTGTTCCAATCCATATGGTCACAGATCTGGATGAAAGCCACCATTATCCCTTCCCTCTCCAGCTTCTCAGGTCTGCCTTTCCCCTGGCTTCTCACGTTTTACAAGTGGAAACCCATCCAAGGTCTTCAAGGTATTTCAGTGTTGGTGAAGAATCTTGAGAAGTTTTGGCCTGGGAAAGACCATTCCCTTGATAACATGGATTTGGATCTGTGGCAGAAAATACACTTCATTGTCTACCCCCATTCCCCAAAGACACACATTTTGGTGTGTCTTTGACCCTACCCTTCGGTCACCAATCTACTTATTCATTACCCATTTGTTAGCACCTACTGGGTGCTATGACCACTCTGAGAGGCAGCTCTCATCCACATTTTACAGATGAGGAAACTGAGCTGTAGAAAATTGAAGTGGCTTTCCCAAAGCCACCCAACTAGAGTGCAGAGGCAAAATTCAAACCCAGATTCGTCTGACTCCAGAGGCCAAACTTGCTACTTATTACACCATACTGCCTATCTTGAAAATGATTAGTCTGGTCTTCTTCCTTTTAATAGGAAAATGCTAAAGCGAGCCCACACTAACAGGAATTTCCAAGGAAGACAGTTTCTCAATCCCACACAATATTTAACTGCCCTCATGATGAGGAAATTGTTCACTTATGTAACGAATATCCCTCCAAACAACGTGGAAATTCATTTACCCTTGACTGGGTTTTTCACTCACGGATGTCACTTGGCAGCTTTCCTGGTACCCAAACAGCCATCAGGATCCTATTCTTAAACTCCAGGAGGTCTTGGACTTGCTGGCCTCTGCCCATGGGTGTTCTCACTGGCTGCTTTGAATCCCCTTCTCCAGACAGTGCTGAGTTGGACAAGTCTCTTGGGGAGTGAGAAAGTGACACTTGAGAACATATTGGTTTATTATTACACAGAAGTAAAATTAACCTCTGGAATTGCCAACAGGAGGATGGCACCTGTGTGCCTTTTCCTTGATTTCCACCTTGCCTCCATTTTTAAGCTATTGAATCATTTGGGAAAGGGTGTGTTACTCAGAGAAGTCCCCTACTCCTTAAAATTCCAGTGTCCATTGTCTCTGAATTTTGGTCTTATTTTTTAAACCCACTGAACTCATCTTTTCTGGCTCCTTTTTGGCTAAACTGAGAAACTAGTGCAAATGCTGGTGTTAATGCCTGATCTGTGGCTGAATGTGTTTCTTTTCCCAGCCAATATATTTACTTTTTAACTAAGGTGTTCAGTGCCTTTAAGCCAAGGGAGTAGGGTCTTCACAGTATCATCAGATATCCCTTTGTAGGGGGATCCATCCTCTTGTGTTCCATTGGGCAATTCCAGACATAAATGTAGGTGAAGAGGCTGCAAAGAGCATCTTCTCTTTGTATTTCTTGTTTAACTAGCCTTTCTTCTGAGCAGCCCTTGGTCGAATATCACAGATTCTGAAAGCACTGGTGGAGACTAGGAGCTATCACTCAAATGCTGGCTTGTCCACCACACTACTTGTACTCATTTGGCATCTCATTTCACATCCCATTAACCCCCGTAGTATCTTTTTAAAAGCGTGTGAGTGTTCTTAGTGTTATCTCCACAAGATCATGAGAATTTTCAAACAGAAAATTCTTCAAAGCCCCCAAGGAAGTGACCTATGAAGCAGTGAAGCAGTGAGGTCATCATTCTGGAGGAATGGGACTTCAGGGAGGACAGGAAAGCAGCAGCTCTCTCCTAAAATGGATCTGAGGTTTCCTTGCATGGTATCTTCCTGCTTTATCTAGCCCTAAGGCATTCCTGCTTGTCTTCGGGGCTGAGGAAGCCCGGAGCAGGGAATTTTAGGTGACAGTTAATGAGAAATTCCTGAGCTGCAATTCCCAGGAAAGTGGTGGGCTGTGGGTGGGAGGAAGTGGTCAGATTATAGCCCCTGCCTCACTGTGCCTGATGACAGCCTGTTACTATTTTATCAGTGATTACATCGCAGCATATAGTGAGCCACCACTTAGGGCAGAAGAGAGAGATAACCTGCTAGACTTCCTGTTTGAGGTTCTTTTCCCTCTTGAGATAACAGAATTTCTCATCAAAACTGGGAGCCGCTTGGGCAGGGAGACCAGTCTGGGTGAAGGCCAGGCTTCAGCCAGCTGAGGAGAAGCACATACACTTCCCGGCCTGGGTCTCTGTGTCCCAGAGTGGGCTGCTGCAGGCACAAAAGAATCCCCTGTCCGTGGCCCCAGGGCTGAATGGGAGGAAACAGTTGGCCCTGCAAGGCCTTACCACCTTCCTTTAGCACTAGGCTCTTCTCTTGCATATCTCCCTTCTCCCACGCTTGCCTTTCTTCTCTGGTCCAGAGCCAAAAGGCCCCTTGCTACCTGAATGGGCACTGCCTCTGCTGCCCCCAGCAAGTTCCAGAGTCTTGTGCAAGGGAAGGAGTTGAGGGAGGAAAGCTCAAGCCCTAGGGTCACTCCTTCTTTTAGAGCCACATAAGGGTTCTGTGAGGCAAACTCAGAAGGATTCTGGATTAGCTGCACACATGTCCCTGCTACCTTCTTAGCACTGCCTCTCCACCCGAGTCTTCAATTTCCCGGTGTCCTTCCATTGAAAGAAGCAATTTCAATCATCTGTTCCCTACAAACTCATGTAGTGCCAGGCCCTCATTTCATATAGACTGGAATAAGGAGACTTATGTGACTATTTTTTTAGCCCTTGACAACCCTATCTTATGTCACTTTTGTTCTGTCTTTCACAGGACAGCCCATATGCTGCCTTGTGCCACAGTTAGGTATGCATGTCTTATCTCCTCTAGATGAGCTGTTAGCTTCTACAGGGCACAAACTTTATCTTGTTCACTCTCATCACCCTCAAAGCCCTTTGCATATTTCCTGACAGAGTAAGAGTCCATTGAGTGTGGGCTGGCTGACAGATGGCTGTTTGAATGGCTGCACAAAGGTCTCTCTGAATGTTGGAGCTTGCCTTTCCACTAAGAAGCCAGTTTCAGTTCTCCTTCCCCCACTAATGATCACATAGCAGTGGGTCACTAGGGCTCCAAGGGGGGAGAAAATATGAGTCACGTCATTATCAGAGGAAAAAGGGCAGAAACATCTATCCTTGTGCAAGGGTCAGAGCCGTGAGGCTGGAGCATAAACACGGTGGCCTTTACTATCCCTTAGGTCTTTGGCTAATCTAAATTACTTTATCGGGGAAGGCAATGGGGTGAGCTGTAAAGTGGCTCAAGCCTGTAATCCCAGCACTTTGGGAGGCCGAGGTGGGTGGATCATGAGGTCAAGAGATAGAGACTATCCTGGTCAACATGGTGAAACCCCGTCTCTACTAAAAATACAAAAAATTAGCTGGGCATGGTGGCCCATGCCTGTAATCCCAGCTACTCAGGAGGCTGAGGCAGGAGAATTGCCTGAACCCACGAGGCAGAGGTTGCGGTGAGCCGAGATTGCGCCATTGTACTCCAGCCTGGGTAATAAGAGCGAAACTCCGTCTCAAAAAAATAAAATTGTGTTTGCCCTGGACCCAGGAGTCAGGAATATTTGTAGGAAACTAGAGCGAAGCCTTTCTTGCTCAATCAGTTGGAGGGAACAGTTGCTCTTTGTTAGGTCTTCCCTGGCTTTTCTAGTTGAGGATGAACTTCTAACTCCTTTCATTGAAACTTCCCAGATTAACAAAGGTAGGAGGACCCCCAGGCCAGCCTTCTTCTAAGATAAAGGGAAGCTCTTTGCTCTGTGTCCAACAAAGATTCTTATATTCCAGTGGCAGACAGGAACACGAAGCCTACAGGAGTTTGAAGAGCAACATGTCCTCATACACCTTCTGAGATCAGAATCCTGGGCCCACGTTGCTGTGCGAAGTTTCTAAACTTAACGTTCAGACTCTGACACTGTGACTTGAGTGATTTTACTCACATCTCTGGGCCTCCATTTTGTTTCTTGTAAAAGACTGGCTTCACTGGGGTATGGGAGAATGCAGTGAAATCAGTGGATCTGCAAATGCTTTGGCAGCCAGATGGAGGGTCATCAGAGCCCATACCAGACTGCTGCCCACTCAGCATAGCAGAGCCAGCAAGGTGGCTCTGTCTTCCAACCTCCAGTGGCCAGCCCCCAATCAAGGGCTCTGGGGTTCTTGGTGCCAGACCAGAGACATGACTTGTTAAGCTTCTGTCTAGAGAGCCCTCTCTCTCCCCGCTTATTCCTGCCTGCTGCCATTCCCTCTAAATCGATTTGGATGCTGACATTCTAGCCTCTGCACCAAAGAATGCTCACTTCAGAGGTGCAAAGTAGTGTCTGATACAACAGGCTATGTGCTGAGGCCCTCTAGATCCAGGGGATAGTTAAGCTGAATCAGGTGGGGCCCCATTATTGTCAGTGTTGCCACAGTGAACACCCTTATGAATGGGGCTTTGTTAATTCCTAGTGAGGGTAGAACAGGGACAAATCATTTGCCTCCCAGACTGCCACACCTTCAGAGTTACGGGAATTGGAACTGAGGTATTGTGTTTTACTCAATGTAAGCCTCACATCCCCCTGGTGGGACAGCTAGCTGGGCCCAGACTGGACAGCATGGCAAGAGGGGGCAGTTCCAGGTAGTACACTTGGTGATTTCCCAGATTGCCCTCATGGGCGACCAGAAGAGCTTATGTGCTCTCCTTGTTACCTGGCTCACTGTGAATTATTTCCTCAGGCAGCTTGAGGATATATGCAAGGCTCTTCTATTGTCTGTGAACTGTGTGGGATCAGCAGGGTGCTAGTTTGGGAGTCAGGAGACTGAGGGAACTAACACCATCTGTTTGGCCATGGGAAAATCTATTTACTTGTGTGGGCCTTAGTTTCCCTATCTGCCAAATGCAGATGATCAGATCCATTTCATCTTCCTCATGATAGTGGTTCAGAGAATGAAAGGAATAAATACATTATCATTTAGCAAATAACTGAAAACAATTGTTATGAAAAGGAAAGAGCCCTGGGCAAGTTCAAGAGGTTGGAGTTGCCTTGGGGAGGAGGTTATGCTTTCTAATTATTTCTAGTAAAGTCTAGAATTATTTATCCACCCTGTGGAAAGAAATGCCAGTTTCCACCCTCCCCTCACCTTAGCCGAAATCCCTCCAGTTTCACTTGCCCGTTCTGGGCCCCTTTTAATCAATAAGACAGTTACTCAATCAACAAGTGTTTATTGATCACCTACTGTGTGCCACTGTTACAGATAGTCTGGGGGAAACAGAGAGGTCTAGGATATAGCCCCCACCCACCAAAGAGTTTACAGTGTATTTATGAGATCGGACACACAGACACAAATAATGATCCATCAAAATTGTGAATGCTAAGCATCAGTAAGCAATTTACACATTGAGGGTTGGGAGAGGGTGGGGTAGGAGAGTGATGGAGTGATCAGAGCAGGCTCAATGAAGGAAGTGATGCTGAGCAAGTTCTCCAAGCCTGAGTAGGACTTGGCTAAGGGTAGAAGGCCTTCCAGGTTGGGAGAGCAGCTGGAACGTAGGCAAGAAAGTGGACATGGGAAAAGCATGTTACAGACAACACATGGGCCCTCTCTGCTGACACTGAGGTTCGAGGAGGTGTGCTGGAGTTTTTCAGTAGTCGGTCATGCTGAGACTGGTGAGGGAAAAAATCTTTGGTATATGACTTCCTACTCCCATTCCAGGGAACATTTTCAGAACTTAGAGGTGGAACTGTCTTCCTGGGAACCATTCTCCACTCTCCCACCTCAGCTGCAATCCCAGGCAGCAGTGCAGCTATCACTCAGATCATGGACATAACACGGTGGGCATGGATATGCCATGCTGGAGCTCTTGGATGCCCTCTAGCCACTCTAGAACATCTGATGGACAGTGGGGGGAATCTGAAGGGGTTCACCTGGTGCTGTAGTATTTCAGAGGCTCTGTAGTGCTCTGTGGGTGGACCCTAGGGGGCCTGATCTCACTTGAGCTGATTTTCCATTATGCCTGAAGACATTCTGGGGGGCTGCCTCTTGCTGACATAGTAGAAACACCCACTGGAGCCACCATACACATCCACCCGGTTTCTTAGACACCAAGGTTCTTATTCTTTCTTGGCTAGCATCAAGGAATGGTATCTTCCTCAGTAGATACACTGCTCCATCCTGTGTGTGTACTGATCCATAGATCCCACACTGTCATCCCCCAGCCAAGGGCAATCTCTAGAAAAACTAGTTCACTGTTGCTAAGGAAACCATTGTCTGTAGCCCTTAGCCTTGTGGTTTAGGCAGGAAGACAGGACAGGTGCCCCAGAGGGAGGCAGGGGCTTCAGTGAAGTTGTGATCACAGCTTCTGAGGCTGTTCCTCAGTGGAGTCAGAGTCTGCTGCCACCTGAGCTTTCCACCAGATCTTTTTTCCTTTCCTTGTGCTTTCCTTAAGCCACAGGCTCAATCCTCTGACCACAAATATGAGGGAATTCTGGAAAGTGCCCTGGGAAATGGGTTCTGCTTTTTTTTTTTTTTTTTTTTTTTTTAATGTCCCAGGCTGCCTTCCCATCCTCCCATCCTACATCCTGCTTTCTGTTCCCTGGATACTGTGGGATGGCTTTATTTCAGTTTATGCACAATTAGTCTGGACACTGTGGAGTCATAACAAGAGTGGGATGGAGGTTCCAGGGCCAGTCTGTTTCTTTGGAGGGAGGCTTGATAAGTAGGTTAGAGCAATGTCCACAAAAGCCACCGCTTCTCCTTCCCGTCCCCAGCAAAGAGCTAAGAGCCAACTCAGCCAGAGAGAGGGTCAGTCTGTGAGATGTGATTAGTGGGTGTGGGGATGGAGTCCCAGCTAAACCAAAGGGCAAAGGGATCATCTGGGGCCTGGCTCAAAGTAGGGGAGTGGGGTTTCAAGTTGAGGGTTGGGGATTCAGGGAAGGGGGGCGGCAAGGTGAGGAAAACAGAAAGGTTAGCATGGCGAGCATCTTTGGCAATTCAACCTGCATGCTGTTACACTAGCCCCCATTTCTGCCTTTGCTCAATCCAATGCCCAAAGTCAGTTTGTCCTCAGCAGCACCTTCTGACGATCCAGTGGTAATGTCCCTCACCTGTGGTTCTCGGGGTGCTGTCCACTGTTTTTCACAGACCCAGCCACCCCCCATATCTGGCCCCTGGTTCTTCACACATACCCTGTCAGGCTGTAGGAATTGAACTCACTCTTGACTTTAGGAGGTTGTTGACCAGGTCTTGGAGAACTCCTCGTGGCAAGAGGTTGGGCTTGGTAGGCATCATAGTAGTTGGAGCGATTTCTCCGGGATAAGCAGGAAAAGCAGAGGATGACTCCAGCTATCAAGGAGAACAGGGAAGAAATAATGCCCAAGTAAAGAGCCTCTCCAATCTCAAATTTCATGCTGTCAGGCACCAGTGGTGAGTAGAAGTCCCGCAGGATCCCATGAAGATTCCAAGCAACAGGAATGAAGCCCAGGAGGCCTCCAAGGATGAAAAAGACTCCACCTGCTACTGCCACTCTGTCTTTGGCTTGGGATTCCTGGCAGAAGACTGTGCATCTCATGCCCACCACAGAGATAATGCAGGCCAGGGAGGAGATTGCACTGGATGTCACCATCATGGCCTGGGCAGCCTGGATGTCGGCGGGCAAGCCCAGAAGTGTGCTATAGATGTCACACTGGGTGATGCCTGTGCTGTGTGTGGCACACTCCATCCAGAGGCCCTTGGAAAAGCCGACTGCTGTCACAATGCTGGCACCGACATAAGAACTTGTTCTCCAGCTGGGGAGCAGCATGGCAACCAGTGTGCCCAAAAGCCCCAGAAGGCCTAGGATGTAGCCCACAAGTTGGAGGCCAAGAGAGGCCATGGTAGAACCGTCTTCAGGGACTGCTCCCTTATCTTCAGACTGAAGCTCTTGCTCCTGGATGCCTCTAATCCCTCATTTCAGAGTCTCTCTGCCAGGTTGACTTCTCTCCTCCTTACAAGTGTCTGTGGGTGGCCACAAGCAGGCTCAAGAAGGCATGTAGAAGACCTAAAACAATCCATAAACCAGATTAAATATTGACCAGAAGCTTATGAGAAACCAGAAAATGCTAGATGCCTTTTGACCTTTGTTATCTTTTAAAATAACACATGAGAAAGGAAAAAAAAACTTTGAATGTGGAGCCAAAATGTCATCGCCTCCTGCGTAGGCGCATGCCTTAGGTTGGCATCTGGACAAAGCCAGGAGCCAGACAGGTGGCTGCCTTCCGGGAAGGTGATGATGGCAGTGGCGGTTGTGGTGACTGTGTTAACTCAAATGCTAGTCTCCAAGGCCTGCTGTTTAATACGTTGCCAAGAAACAGGGCCATAAGGCCCCTCAGTTGCAGACTGAGGCCAAACTGCAGATCGCATCAGGAGGAACAGATTCTAGAATGTAGTCTTGGACTCCAGCTTGTTAGAGGCATCTTGAATCTCCAGGCTAGTGGCCTAGCCTGGAATCCCCCTGCCCATGGTGAAAATCTTCTCCAGGGCAGATGAGGGTAGGCAATAAAGTCTTCTGTCCATAGTTTGAGAGTTCAGATCCTCCCAGCCATGCCCAAATCCCCCTCTGTAGCCTGGCCTAAGGCCTTCTGCATGTGTAACATGCCCAGACATTTCCTGTCCAGTCTCCTAATAGATGCCCCCCTCATCAACCTCTCAGATGATGAGGGAGCACTCTAGAGCAAGAGTTCTAGGACTGAGAGGGAGCCCTGAAATTCTCTGGGTAATCTGTTAGGGGCACAAGGGTCTGCCACAGAGGAAAGGCAAGCTGCTCTAGAATATAGGACTTTGCATGAGGCAGGTATCTGAGTCAATGCTTTGGAATTTCAGAGCCTTATAGGACTTTGCAGTGTTCAAGGATCCCTCAGTGTTACCAAGGTTCAGGACAGTAAGGGTCAAGGGCACACCTCCCCATTCTCTACAAGACCCTCTGACCCACTAATTTTTCTTTCTTTTTGAGACAGGTTCTCACTTTGTCACCCAGGTTGGAGTGCAGTGGCATGATCTCGGTTCATTGCAGCCTCGACCGCCTGGGCTCAGGTGATATTCCTGCCTCAACCCTCCAAGTAGCTGGGACTACAGGTGCACAGCACCATGCCTGGCTAATTTTGTGTGTGTGTGTATTTTTTGCAGAGACAGGGTTTTGCCATGTGGCCCATGCTGGTCTTGAATTCGGGCGTGTAAGCAATTCGCCTGCCTTAACCTTCCAAAGTGCTAAGACTACAGGCATGAACCACTGTGCCCAGCCTAACCCACGAATTTTTCAGCCCACCACAATCTGGCTATCGCATTTTAGCCTTCTTCAAGGTTTCTATTCTTCTACTCATCTCTTAAATGTGAATATTCTTCAGAAGTCCATCCTTTTCTCAATTAACACTCTGTCTGTGAGCAAAATCATCTGCCCCCATAACTTAATCTACTACCCATTCCCTGGCTTTCCCAAATCTGAATTTCCAGTATAGACCCTTCAAGACTGGCAGAACAATCACCTACTCAGAATATCCACAGGGAAATCTCATAGAAATCTCGAATTTGACATGTCTGAAAGAGAAGTCATCACCTCCCCGATGCAGCGTTCCCCAAACAGTTCTTCTCTGGGTTCCCTGTGGCCACTGAATGATACTTCTATCCATCCCCTTGTGCCAGACCAAGATCTGGAAAGTGATCCATGGCACCTTCTTGTACTTATCCCCTGCATCCTTTAGTCCCTATGTCCCACCAGTTCTACCTTATGCATATACCTGAAATCCATGGTTTCTCTCTCTCCATCTCCACTGCTACTTCCCTAGTTCAGAGTTACACCATTATATCCTTTTTTTTGGACAGAGTTTTGATCTTGTCGCCGAGTCTGGAGTGCACTGGCATGATCTTGGCTCACTGCAACCTCCACCTCCCAGGCTCAAGCAATTCTCATACCTCAGCCTCCTGAGTAGCTGGAGCTACAAACACCCGCCACCATACCCAGCTAATTCTGTATTTTTAGTAGAGACAAGGTTTCACCATGTTTGGCCAGGCTGATCTCAAACTCCTGACCACAAGTCATCTGCCTGCTTTGGCCTCCCACGGTGCTGGGATTACAGGCATGAGCCACTGTGCTTGGCCTCATCATTCTCTTTCACCTGGACTATAGCAACAGCTTTGTAACTGGTCTTTCTCCCAATTCATTCTCCACATCATTGCCAAGGTGATCTTTCAATACATTAATCTGATCAAGTCACTATTCTACATAAAACATTCCAGTGGCTCTCTATTTCTAAAGGGTGAAGTCCAAACTTGCTTGTATTCCATGACCTCTCAAGCTTCATCTCTTGCCATTTCTATCTTCATAGTCTATACCATTGTGAAACTAAATTACTTCTAGTTCTTCAGTCATGCCATGTGGTCTTTTGCTTTCAAATAGAAATAGAACCGAATGTTCCATGCAGAGTGCCACGTACTCTTCTTCCTCTGTTTAGTGCCTTCTCATCTTTCAGGATTCAGCACAGATGTCTCTTACTGTAGCCTGGGTCAGGTAACCCTCCTGTCTATTCTTACAGTATCTTGTGTTTACTTCCATCATAGTAATAATAATAATAATGGCAACACATGTGTAGTGTTTCTTATGGGACCATTATAAACACTTTATACATGCTAACTTATTTAATCATTGCAAGTTTTTTTTTATGGTAGGCACTAATAATACTTATTGTACAGATGAAGAAACTGAGGCAAAAATAGTACATTTTGCATTATGTTGCAATTTCCTGTTTAAACCCTATCCTTCCCTATTAGCCTGTGAGCTACTTGAGGGCAAGACTGCATCTTATTTATCTCTGTATCTCATGTGCCTTACACACTGCTTTACCCAGAGCAGCAATTCAAAAATTTTCTTCTTCTTCCTCGTCTTCTTTTCCTTCTTCCTTCTTCCTTCTTTCTTCCTTCCTTCCCTCCCTCCCTCCCTCCCTCTCTCCCTCCCTCTCTCCTCCTCCTCCTCCTCCTCCTCCTCCTCCTTCTTTTTTCTTTCTTCTTCAATGGAATCTCACTCTGTCACCCAGGCTGGAGTGCAGTGGCATGGCAACCTCCGCCTCATGGGTTCAAGTGATTCTCCTGCTTCAGTCTCCTGAGTAGCTGGGATTACAGGCATTCACCACCATGCCTGGCTAACTTTTGTTAGGTGTGTGTCACCATGCTTGGTTATTTTTTTTGTATTTTTAGTAGAAACGGGGTTTCACTGTGTTAGCCAGGATGGTCTTGATCTCCTGACGTCATGGTCTGCCCACCTCGGCCTCCCAAAGTTATGGGCATGAGCCACCACGTCCAGCCCAAAAACTATATTCTGAATAAATGAATGAAGTTGGTAAAGAGGTTTGAGGGGCTCCATATTGACTACAATATGGGGACTTTCCAAATGAGTCAATAACACCTCAGTGTAAGGGTCATTGAAGTGCTACCCAATGTTGGAAAAGATGATTGAGAGAGGGATGGAGGATCAGATGAAGAAAGATGTAAAGGGAGAGAGAAAGACAGAGAGCAGAGCTTCACTATCTTTATGTCTTTCATTATATATATATATATATAGTGAAGCTATTTCTATATTTATAACTTCTATATTTATATTCACATTATATATAATGTATATATTATATATATATTTATATATGCATTTGTGGAATATTTTGTCTCTTCAACCAAATTCTAAACAATTTGAGGGTGAAAAAATATATATTAAATGTCTATCATGCTTCCACAGCATTGGGCACATGATTGATAGTCAATACGATACATCAGCATTGAAAACACCAGTGCCAGTGTTGATGCAAAGCAATGCAGAACAAGAGCCGAGAAATATTTGATGAGTTGAGAGGGAAACTTAGTTTGAATCTCACCTCTGTCACTCATCTGTGGTGTCAAGAAAGCAAGTCATTTTTGCCATTGGCTTTCTTATTGCTGACCTTTGCACAATTGTGCCTGTCCTGATCATGACTGTGCATCTCATTGAGGCTTTCAATGCTGCTTGGAAATCCTTCTGCTCCCTGGTAAACAGCCTCCTGATGACTACTTCAGATATTTACTTCTACTTTTTGAGCTCCCTACCCTACCTCCTCCTTGTGCAGCTACTACTTCTATCTTGATCATTCTCTTTGAAGCCAAGATCCTTAAGCCATTCATTACTGATGCCTCCATTTCTTCACTCTCCCACTCACTCCTCTGCCCTCTGCAGTCTGGCTGCTGCCATTAGCCCTCCACTGAAAATATTCTCACCAAAGTTGTCAACTCTTTTCTTGTTCCAAAATTCAGTGATCATATCTCTGTCATTTCACCTTGTCTCTCTCCTTCATAAAACTGTCTTCTCCATTGTTTTCTGTAGCACCACTCCATTTTACCTACTTCTCAAAATGATAATTCTAGTTTTCCTTTGTAAGTTCCTCTTCTTCTGCTCACTCTTAAAGTCTAACTATCCATCTCTGTCCCTCTAGCCCTCCCAGGGTTTCATCTCGACTTGTAGATGGCTCTTATTATTCTTTGCATTCCTCATGGGTGATCTCATCCACTCTGTCTCCTGTCAGTGACTCCTGAATTCATACCTTTGCCACAGAGTTCTCTCCTGAACTCAAGATTTGTGTAGTTAACTGTACTTGGATTTGCCCTACCTGAATGTTTTAATGGCCTCAAATTTAACATCTGCAAAGCTGGAATCATCTTCCCTTTTCTCTCTCCATCCTTAAAATGCTCCTCCTCATGGAGTGTTTCTTACCTCAGTGGGGCCATCGCCCCACAGTTGATAACCCAAGCCAGTCATCCTTGCTTTTCAACTCTTGTTGACATATAATTAATAATAATGTGCCATCACGTCTGCCTTCAAAAATACATCATGATTCCATCTACTTCTTTCTGTAGCCACTGCCCAAACCATAGTTCAAATTATGCAGCCATCATTTCTTGTTCGTTAGGAAATCTCATAGACACCTCAAATTGGTCTCTCTAATTATACTTCTATCCCAATCAAGCAATGATGAGTTACCCAGCCAGTAGTCAAAGATCTTTGTAAAGTTGAAATCAAACTGTGACTGTCTTGTCACCCTTTGCCAAACTTAAAAATCTTCCGGTGCTCTTAAGTGTTTCAGGATAAAGTTCAAACTTTGCTAGCCCAGGAAACAAGGAAAGCCCTCCATTATTTCACCCCTGCTTTTCTTCACAGCCTCATCTCACACCATTAACCTTCTACCTCATGCTTTATGCTCCTATACATACACATATGATCCAGCCAAACCGAAGCACTTGAATTTTTCTGACTTTGCCTTTCTCTCTGTCTCCAAGCCCTTAAGCATGCGATTCTACCATCCACCATTTGCTTGGATAATTGCAAATCATCCTTCAAGATTCATCCTTTCTTTGGGCCCTCCCTGCTGCTTACCCAGGCTGGGTTCAATACTTTTCCTTTCTTCTACCTGTTTGTATCTGAGATTTTAGTGAGAGTTGGTGAGATATCTTGAGGTTTTCAAGGGGAAGACCTACTGCTTGGCAGAGGAGCAGCTCCTGCTTCAGCCTTCCTGGGATGGCAGCAGAAGAGCCAAGCTTGAGTTTCCCAAGGAAGTCAACAGTGTCCCCAAGAGGAAAGCCTCTCCCCAGAGCCTGTCATAAGTAGTACTAAGTAGGCAAGTATTTTGTGATGAGGGAGAAGGCAGAGTCAAGAAAATGCCATTATTGAGGCTTGGAATCTCTAGAGTCCGACTTGGCATAGCAGCATAGCCGAATAGGAGGAAGAACAAATTATTGGAGCTTATTCAAGTGTTATAAATGGCCCCATGGTGGGGGGTGGGGGTGGTTCAGCTTTCTGTCAGGGTTAGGAAGACCAGTTAAATGGCAAGTAATTGGGTGGTGAGCCAGGCTGGATTCAGCCAGGTTTTTGTTTGTCTGATGAGCAGTAGAGGTGAAGGCAGACAGGGTTTAAAGGGTCCTAGAGTTAGAATCAAAAGATCTAGCTTCTTCTGTCAGTTCTGGAACCTGTTGAGGAAGTCCTGTAGCTTATCTAGGCCCTAGTATGTCACCTCCAAGATTTTGAGTCTCAAATAAGGCCATGGGGACAGGAAGCTACTTTGACAAATATGGAAGACTGAAGAGCTGTTATTAGAAGCAGGCAGCTTTAATGGAAACCTCTCTTTGGGGGATTCTCCTAGAAGCCAAGTGCTGGCTGCTCTGGAGGTACAGAGAACTCCAGGCCTTGCCAACTGAATTTGTCCTCTGGGCATGTGACCAACATACTCCATGGCCCAAGGACTGGGCAAGAAAATTTCACTTAGGATCCTTACCTAATCTTCCCTAGTGGGGAGATTGGAGCTGCAGGAGAGGATTAGGAGGGTCAAGACTGACCACAGCTCCTGACTTAACCCCTTCTCACCTGGGTACTTTCCCTGCTCTTCTCCCCATCTCTTGCTCCAAGAGTCTTGTGCATGGTACTCTTTCTTGGCTGTACCCTCCTAAGACTACATGGGGCAGGACACTAGGGGCTCCCAGGCTCAAGGAAGGAACCGATGTGGTCTTCTAAGGGTGATGGTGACCACCAAAGCCCTTTTCTGTCAGTCAGCCTCATTTCTCCATCCCTTGATCTCACTGCCCCTCATAAGAATCTGAGACACTTTCCCCCTTCTCTTAACCTCACTCCCAGCGTCCAAGGGCACTAGTAGGTGGCAAAACCATTCTCTTGAGGCCCTACTTTCTCAAAAGTTTGTCCTTAGAGCAGTTCATGTTTCCTTCTGCATCAATTGATTGTTGGCAGTTGAGAGAATTGCATCTGGATTGAGAGATTTTCTAAATTGTTTGAAAAAGAAGTTAATTTTTCTCCTGGTCATTAAAGTAAAGCATTCTCGCTTTAGAACACTGGAAAGCAGAGAAAGGCAGAATTTAGAAAATAAAAATAACCTATGATCTCCCTAGCCAGAAATGCTGTGAATGTTTTGGTTCCAACTTCATTTTCAAAGAGGGCACTTAAAGAGAGTTGCCTCAGTCCAAAGAAGGAATTTCTAATGACAGACTTGAAGATGAGTTGGGGAGAGTCATTGAAAGGTTTCATGGGGAAACTTTATGACCTCACTCAGGAACCCACCTTCTGTTACCTCCCTGAGCCTTCGTGCCAAGGAGGGCACTGGAGCTGGCTGTAAGGGAGTGCTCCTCCTCAGCCCCCTACACTTAGGCAGAGGGGTAAACTGTGGATCCCTCCCTCCAGTATTTATCCCAGTCCTTTTAACCACCCAAAACCAGAAAATATCTGATTTGGAGAGTGCTTGCCCTGGTCCTGAAGTTTTAAAGACTAGAACCTTTGTGATAGCTTTGAGGAAACAAATACCATCACCCCAACTGCCACCGGAATTTCACCTCCCATACCCTTCACTCAGAAACCCAAGGTGGCCCAGCCTGACTCCACCATGGAGTGAATGGATAGCGACTAGGAAGGAAGAGTGCTCACCTCAGTGAATTTAGAAGGCAGCAACTGTATCAGGATGGAGATACTTACAGGGCAGTTCTTTGCAGAGCCTTGGAGGGGGCAATGCCCCTGTAGAGGGAGAAAGGGATCCTGAGGGAGGGGAGCGAAGTGCAAGAGACCACGAGCTGAGGTGATAAAGGATTTCTAATCATTAACCACAGCTTTGCAAAATCCATCTGCAAGTCTGAGCTGTGGGTCAGAGACTTATTACAGATCAGAATTAAACCCCTGGAGGCTGGGAAAGATTGAGGTACTTTAAAAAAAAAAAGGTTTGGTGGGTTTTGTGTATATTTTTTTTTTCTGTCAAAAACTCCACTCCAGCTGGGCTTTTGTGTGGTGACCTCTCTGCACCCAGGAGAGGCCTTGTGGGGAGGGGGATTTGGCCCAAGAAGGAATTCAGAACATTCCAGCTTTGAGTGTGGTGAGAGGAGGGGGCTCTGTCCTTCCAATTAGGTGTCCCTGGCTAGCAGCCCTGAAGCCCAGCAGGGAGTAAGCCACATAAACACAGCCCTGGTGAGCCAGTGCCCAAGCAGCCCTGCACGGCCTGCAGCCCCACAGACTTTGCTACTCAGCTTGATTCTCTGGCAAGTCCTCAGCCCTACCCCACCCCTCAGGTTGATCCCAAGGCTCAAGGGCAAACATGGATACTGTAGGTTCAGACTTTGAGTTCAAAGAGCAGGTCCTCCAAGGTGGAACTGAGGAGGCCAGCATAAGGGCAGGGCTCCCCTTTTAACAGCACTTGGCAGTGCCACACACTGTCATTTAAGCCTCTCAAAACTGCTGTGGAGGCTGGGTGCAGTGGCTTATGCCTGTAATCCCAGCACTTTGGAAGACTGAGGTGGGTGGATCACCTGAGGTCAGGAGTTCGAGAACAGCCTGGCCAACATGGTGAAGCCCTGTCTCTACTAAAAACACAACAATTAGCTGGGTGTGGTGGTGCACACCTGTTGTGCCAGCTACTCAGGAGGCTGAGGCAGGATAATTGCTTGAACCTGGGACTTGGAGGTTGCAGTGAGCCAAGATCGTGCCACTGCACCCCAGCCTGGGTGACAGAGTAAGACTCCATCTCAAAAAACAAACAAAAAGCAACAAAAACAAAATGTGCTGTGGAGTAGAGTACAGTGACTGGGTTTCCTCTCTCAAAGCAAAAAAAAGCTTTCTTGTTTTTTCTAAATAGAAAAATACTAGATGCTATTGAAAAGAATTCAGACAATGAACTATAAAAAAGGAAATAGAGGTCCTCATGCCACTAGAAATCATTGCTAACATTTTTATGTATCATAGAAGATATTAATAGGATTTGTTTTATAAAATTGAATCACATTATACCTACAATTTATGTAACCTTCCATCATTTGTAAATAATATATCATGGGCCTATTTCCATGTCAATTAAAACACAGAACTACATCATTCTGTCATGGCTGCACTACGTTCTATCATATAAAATACGATTTATTTAATAATTACTAGATATTTTGTTATTTTCATTTTTGACTACTCTAAGTTAGCATCTTTGCACATAATACTGACAAAGTCTTAGGAATAGAATTACTAGGTGAAAGAGTGTGCATGCATTAAAGATCAATACAACATATTACAAAGTAGGATGGCCATTACTATTTCCAGATGAGGAAACCTAGGCCCAGTGAGATGAAAAGAGTTGCCCAACATTCCAAGTTGAGCAGTAATAGTTAGACCTGGAATCTAGGTCTGCAGATGTCTAGCTTGGCAAAGTTTGTAGTGTACCCTGCTAACTCCCTCCCAAGGATTCCCATGTATGAATGATAAGGCTAGTGGCCACTGTTCATTGAACACTTTTTAGGTACCAGGCACTGTGCTGAGGTGTTTCCTATCCATAGTCTCACTGAGCTAGTACAGAGCAGAGCAAGGCCTGGGTACCAAACGTGGCCACCTCTAGAGCTTGCCTCGTAATCATTATGCTTGACTCTCTTTTTCAAGTCATTATCAAAGCAAACAGTTGGATTTGTTGCCTATGGTGATTTCAGTGAAGCAAACCAAAATTTGTCCTCCTTCCCAAGGCGGCCCATCCCTATCTTGCAGGTACAAATAGGGCACTGATCCCCTGGCAGTGTTTCTGAGCAAGGGTCTCTCCAGGGTGCTCCCTCTTGGCAGGCTGGGACAGGCTAAAAGGGCAGCCATGCCTGAGCTCAGGCCTGGGGAATCTTTGAGCATGAAAACAAGCAAGGCTGAAGGGGTGGGAGGGATACCAGGCTAATCCTCTAACCAACTATGTGACCTCAGGCAAGTCTCTCCATTTTCTTTTTCCAGGCTTCACCCAGCTGAATTCCCAAGGCTGGGTGAATGAATGTGAATGCATTTTGACAAGTAGAAAATGCTGATTGAATGCAGAATATTAGAATATGTAGTAGAGGGGCACCTTATCAGTTCATAGTGACTCTGCAATTGAGAATAGGAAAAGGCAGAATCTTAGGGGCAGGTGCCAGGGCGGATGAGGAGACTGTGTTGGCAGGATGTGGTTTCCAGATTGGCAATCATTCAAGGACTGGGTTCTAACACTGTGTTTCCTTTAGGTCGGCATTGTAAGATCCTGGTGGAATCATGCCAAAGATTATGACTTCTCAGTATTGAGCCTGGAAGGTTCTTTAGCAATGCTTCTGCCAAGACCCCTGCTGAGATCCAAAGAGCTTTGATGGGTGCAGTAATGGAGAGGGGGCTGAAAGAACAGGAAAGAAAAGCAGCATTTAGTTCAGGAGACAAGTGAGTGGGGAGAGAACAAAGGGAGGGAAATAAGGGTATGGGAAGATGTGGGTTCAGGAGAGAGAAAAGGGGTCTTTGAGGAAGAAGATCTAAGAGAGCTCTGTAGAAAGCAAGGTCTTGAAGGAGAGGGAGGATATGGTGCTATGAAAAGAGGAATCTTGAAGAAGAAATAAGAGAGATTCTAAGGAAGAGGGTGTGGGAATGGGAGGACTCTGGGAGAAGGAGTTAGGGTCTAGGGCAGAGAGAGGCTTAGAGACATTTTACCCTCACTATTCCACCAATAGAAGTTCTTGTCACAGTTACCAATGACCACATGTCACCAAGTCCAATGGCCACTTTTTAGTTCTTAATTTCCGTGACCTCTATGCAACATTCAATGCCCTTGATAACCTGGTTCTTGAAATGTTTTCTCCTCTTGACCTGTGTGATAACAACACTCCCCTGGTTTCCCTCTTATCTTTCTGGGTACTTCTTCATTGGTTCCTCCACCCCTGCCAGAACCTTAAATATGGGCTCCTCTCAGGAGCCTGAACTAAGTCCTCGTTCCTCACTCTGCATTCCGACTCTGTGAAGCCTCATTTATCCTCTGTTGTTTCAGTTCTCCTCGATCATCTGACAACTTCCAAATCATAATTTTCAGCCCAGACTCATCTGAGCTTCATACCTCTATATACTGGCATCTCCATTTGGATAGCTGAAAGGTGTCTCAAATGCAACATGTCCAGGGTCTTGCTCTGTTGCCTGGATTGGAATGCAGTGGCATGATCACAGCTCACAGTAACCTTGAATTCCTGGACTGAAGCAATCCTCCTGCCTCAGCCTTCAATTAGCTGAGACTACAAGCATATGCCACCATGCCCAGCTAATTTATATATATATATATAATCATATTTATATATATAATCATATATATAATCATATTTATATATATAATCATATATATAATCATATTTATATATACTCATATATATAATCATATTTATATATATAATCATATATATAATCATATTTATATATACTCATATATATAATCATATTTATATATATAATCATATATATAATCATATTTATATATACTCATATATAATCATATATATAATCATATTTATATATACTCATATATATAATCATATTTATATATATACTCATATATATAATCATATTTATATATATAATCATATATATAATCATATTTATATATAATCATATATATAATCATATTTATATATACTCATATATAATCATATATATAATCATATTTATATATACTCATATATATAATCATATTTATATATATAATCATATATATAATCATATATATATATACTCATATATATAATCATATTTATATATATAATCATATATATAATCATATATATATATACTCATATATATAATCATATTTATATATATATAATCATATATATATTTGTAGAGATGGTGTCTCACTGTATTGCACAGGCTAGTGTCAAACTCCTGGGCTCAAGCCATCCTTCTGCTCCAGCCCCACAAAAAGCTGGGATTATAGGTATGAGCCACTATGCCCGAAATTGTATCCTTGATTTCCCTTTGAACTGAAACCAGTCCTCCCTTAGTCTTCTCTCTTTGAAAAAGCCAGCTGTTTAAGCCAGAAACCTCAGAGTTAGCCTTAATTCCATTATTTTCTCTGTGACCCTCATTGCATCTGAACTGTAAGTCTTTCCCATTCTACCTTCAAAATTTAGCTCTTTCGTCCATCTGCTGGTTTCCACTTCCACTCCCCTTAGCATCATCTCTCACCAGGATGCTGCAATACCCTTCTGATTTTCCTACTTCTCCTTTTGGCTTTCTGCAGTCCATTTTCTACATAGTAGTATGATTTGGCCCCTACCTAGCTCTCCAAACTGGTTTCATACTACTCTCCTCACTCCCTACTCTCCCAACTGGCTTCCTTTCAGTTTCTCAAGCCTACCATGGTCTACCTCACCTTTAGGCCTTTACAAGTCCTGTACCTTCTGTCTGGAACTCTTTCTGGACCCTGACCCTACCCCACCTTCAGATGGTTTTGTCTGGAAAACTTCTTATCCTTTAGGGCTCAGCTTAGGTGTTATTTCCCTGATTGCTGAGGTCTCTGTGCTGCTACAGTATCTTGTTATCCCCCATCAATTGCCTTGGGTTGTATTTGTTGTTGCTGCTCCTACATAGGAGGGTTTGGCTTTCTTTTTATTTTTTATTTTCTTAATTGAATTTTCATTTTAGGACCAGGGGTATATGTGCAGGTTTGTTATACAGGTAAACATGTGTCATGGGGATTTGTTGTGCAGATTAGATTTGGCTTTCAATTGTTATTTTCATCACTATTCTAGTCTAGTGCATAGCAGGTGCACCATTGAATTGATAGAATCAGACTGAAAAGAGATTGTGATAAGAAGGGAAATAGTAGATGGTTTGAGAGGCAGTGGATAAGCAGATATAGGAGGAGAAATGTTGAGCAAGTGCTTCCTAAGCACTAATGCACAGACTTAA